CAGAAAGTCAGAAAACGGAACAAATGAAAAGGATTTCAAGGCAAATGAAAGCCTGGCAGAGTCATTCCTGACTTTGGGATGAAAATTCGGGGAATTTTGGCGCTTTGGGCTGGGGATGGATCCTCCCTGGCAGGGAGCTGCTCCTGGCTGGAAGCGATTAAAGGAATTTTCATCTGGAGCAAATCCTGCTGAGAGGAAACTCGGCAAAACGCGTCGAGTTTACAAACTCGCCCGCGGGAACTTGGAGCTACTGCTCCAGGGAAACTCAGGGGGCTCAGAAAGCGCTGGGAAATTCATATTATAAAATGAATATTATCCACAGAAAGTGGCTGGGAGCTTCATTTCCCTCAAATAATTCCCATTTTTGCCAGTGGATCCATTATAAATCCTGTATTTACCCTGCTGGTTTGGTGTGCCCCAAAGTTGAGGAAGAATTTTCTTTAAGTTGTCATTAAAATGTCAATACTTTCAATTTTAAATTTCTATAAAGCACTAAAAGCTGCTCTTACTAGAAAAGGAGCAATTTTGGGAAACTTGAAATGCCAATTATTGGTAAATGTGTTCCAGGAGTTTTGGAATTTGATGGAAAGGCAGGTGAGGGTCAGATTTCCTATCAGCAATGCCAACCATGGGTTTAATCACTGATTTAATTCCTGGAGAGCCAGTTTGCACCTGAAACGCTGCTTCTTAAATCTTAATTTCAGCACATCAAATAGATGAAAACCAACATATGTTCTTACTCTCAGTATTGTGAATTATTGTCAAAAGCTCCCTTATTTTCTGCTCCTGTAGTTTTCCCCTTATGGTTTTCCTGATGTGTTGGGTAATTTGTGATTCGAGCTTGAGGATTTTTATTTTTTGCAATGTAATTCTGGCTGTTTCCCAGATATGTGTCTAATATTCTCTACAGCGTAGTTTTAAGACACATTTAGGTAAGTTTGGAATGATGGTGCCTTGTGATTTGCATCACAACATTAAATGAGTTCCATTTCTCTTTCAAGTTCACTTTGTAACAGCTGAGAACAACTTCTGTGAACTGTAAATTAATAGAGAATAACGTGGAATATGAGAAAAGCCTTCACTGGGCGCTCCTCTGGGCCTGCCCACCCGCCCAGGGCGGAATTCCTTCCCAAAATCCCACCCAGCCCTGCCCTGTGTCCTGGCACGACCTAAAAACCTCTCAGCGAGCCCAGCACAGATAAATGAGCTTCAGAGGAAAGAATAAATCATTTAAATTAAGTTGCGGTTCCGCATCTCCCGTTTTCCGCCTTCAGGGTGAATTT